TTTAACGATAATTTAAAATTATTTTCCATTTTGTATTATCATTACTACAAACTTCGTTGCCTTAATAAATACATTTTTCACATAAAGATATTTAAATAAAGTAAACTAAAAAAAAAAATATTCAAAAAACCTTCATCAATTACCAAAATGATGAATTAATTTTAAAAATATCGATCCATTCTTCATTTAAAATTGCATACAGACGTATTCTTGATGTAGATATTTTCATAAATTCTACAAAAGATACCTTTTTTCATTTATTCTCCTTAAAATAACTAGACCATTTATAGCAGATGCTTATTTTCCAATCACATAATAAAAAGTCTCTTTGAAATGGGAATTCAATACTTCCGGAAGATCAACCCTGTGGTAAAAGTATATATTAATTTTTATATTCACATGTTCACGGAATGAAAAGAAACATATGAAACGAGTTGGAATATATATACATATATAGTAAAGTCAACAGCAAGAGGTAACATTTTCGCTTATTGCACACAGCAGTACGGTTGCGGATGTGCGGTATCGTGGTTAAGGGTGGTTAGGGCATAGTACCACAAGGGTGGTCAAACCACAAACGAGACCACCGTCCTAGCTATCTGCTATCTGGATAACCACCACCGTCGCCACGAGTGCAAAGCCCGTCTGCTGGCAATGGTAGAGTGTTCAACCCTCGTAGCCTGATTCCCACTCACACCCCCGGATTCATGCTAGCATTATCGATATGGCCCTTCAAACTGAGTGGATCCTACCTGTCCGTACTTCATATGTGTCACACGATATAATAAAACACAAATTATCATGTCTGAAACGCTTATTGGATTGAATGTCATGCAAATAGCTCATATTATCTTCATCAAGTTGCATTGCTCAATATTCAGTGAAATTTTTGGTATATTATTATCTCAATTTGAGATATTCCCAAATATTATTTCAGACACTATTTTTGGATTTAATTTGACGCTTTGTTTAATTAATTATTAATTAACAGCAACCAAATATTTTTATGAATTTTCTAAATAAAAATACCCTACACTTTGAAACATTTTTAAAATAAAATATTATTTATATTGATGTGAAATAATTATTTACCTTTACATGAAAGTTTGATTTTCAACTCTACCACAATTTCTTTTAAATCATAATTAGCAAGTTGCAAATGACATTTTCGAAATTATCGAGACACTTTGACGCATAAATTGATTCTAATAGAATATTATAAATGTAATTGGCACTCGGTAAATTTATGCAAAATCATAGTATAATAATATATCGTTATGATGTACTTCATTATGTTATCATTAAAGTTTGATAATAGTATAGTCTACTAAATCTAGATCGTTTTGTGCATAGACTCATGCTGAAAGTTGAGTGTATGGAGAAGTAAATTTGCAAATAACATAAACCTGTATATATGTACATATATGCATTGGTAGCTAACAAGCATCCAACTAGAACATTAATAGAGAACTTAACGCATCAGTTTATTATACCTCAAACTTTTGCACGACTGAATGAGATACAGTAATTGTCCTTGTTAAATCAAACAGGCACGAAACAACGCCCATAGCTTTCTCTATCGGTCCATTTGTATATCTATCTCATTCGCTCACGTAGTGGTGAAGATATTTCACTGGTGCGAATCGGTGCGATCTATTGGGTGGATTGGCTTCGTTGAACTACTAAAGGGGTTGGAGTTTGTGGAGTTATTGGGAAGAAGTGAGGGTGCAGGGGGTAAAGGTGGTAGTGAATTCCAAACGGGCGTTTATTAGTGTCCAATTGTGAAGAGACTGGGTAACACGAACGCGAGCTGCGTGAACTCGCTCATTTGCGTGCCTGTTAATTTGCTAGCGCTACCACAGTATGCGACTGTGAGACCGCAGAAGGACGTCAGAATGCACGTATATTTCTCCCATTCCTCTCTGCATTCTCTCTCTTTGTCTGCTGATGCTCCTGCATTTTGCATATAATTTCTGGGATTGTAACTGTACCTGTGACCAAATAATATACCTCTGCAAAATGGATAGTTCTCAAGAAGTATTTTCCTAACGCTTTTAAAAATACATTCTTTTATTAAAATTTTTTTTCGCTCAATAGAAATACTGTGAGAAATATTTTTGAGTATATATTACCATTGTTTTCACTAATTGTTCGAAAAAAAATTATTTCTTTTAGCTACAAAAATTATTTTTAAAAACTAAAACGTCCAATCGTTAAATCCACCATCCATAGTATTTATCTTTTTTTTATCACGAAATTATTTTGAATAAATATTTTCGAAATATCTGTGGTTTGTAGTCTATAAAAACTAAAACAGGTTCTCCTTAATAAGGAGAAAAAAAAAAATGTTCCACTTCATCCTGAAATTAAATCATTCCAACCGAGAAATGATTCTAATGCTCTTTTGGGATGATTATTTTCGAAAAATCAACCATGAAAAAGCATTTCAATACGTTTAGTAAATACCTAATTTTCTCAAGTACCTATTTTGCTTTGAGTGCTTCTACATTTCTCACGCTATGACTTAATAATAGATTCTTTAAGTACATTGATTATTTATTTTCCAAGTTTCAATATTGGTATTTTTACATAAAGCATCTACATAAGCTGATAATATAATAATCCTAATAAAAATATATATCACTGATACAACAAAATAACTTAAAAACAGTTGAACAATTGTTTTTATTACATAGAAACAATTTACACAGTTCCTGAATTACTTGAAATCACTGATACTTGAAAAGACATGTGAGATAATGTTAATGATAACAGAATGGGAAAAAAATAAAAATAGTGTTATGTGTATTGAATAGGTGTTTTTAAGTAGTTAGGTCGACTAAACTAGTACTTAAAGTAATTATAATTTCACGTATGAGTAATTACAAGCTAACAGAACATTCGTCCATTCGTTTATCAATTAAAAAAAATTTTTTCAACTCATTTAATGATCTCTCAAGCGGATGTTTCGATTTAAAATAACTGGTATATGTACGTGGGTTGAAGATAATGACGAGTCTGTCGAGGTGAGATTAGACACGAAGAGAAGATAGAAAAGTCCATCACGAAGTCTCGTGGGTAATATAAGACTGAATAGGCGGTTAAATTGACTTGTTATAATCGTGACTCATGACTCTCTCACGAGAAAGAAACGGCCAGATTTCTGTACGTATCCACCAAGTATCAAGGTACTAATTACTACTATATAGCAATTTCATACTTCAATTCGCACGCGGTTTCATAAATGTGTATAAATGAAACTTGGTAGATTATTGATGATACTTACTCATACTTACACGTCGCTTAATCGATTCAACACATTACTTCAGTTTGTTAAGTAGAAAAAAATTATTTAAATATTACAATCCTCTTTTTTTTGTTGTTGATGATGGTGATGATGATGGTTATTATTATTTCAACAACCTAGGCTCATTATCTAAACTAGAAGAGGGATAATTACGTTTAATATGATTAGGCACTTTTATTGTACAGCTAAAGAAATCATTTAAAAATTATTCCAGTTTATATTGAAATATATGCTGATTAATGTTTCATTGAAAAATAATTCGAACAAAAAAGATTCAGCTGTTTTTTTAATCCTAAGCTCATTAGAGGTAAGTAAAAAATATCCATCCAGCATAATCAGAATGATTGAGTTTACAAATAAATTTTATCGATTTAATTGTCAATTGTAAAAATGTATATCCTAGAGGATAGCTTGTTCCAAATAAATACATTATTTGAATAAAAATAAATTCTGGAATTATCAGTGATGCACATGTGGATATCATCAACCCTCTCATGTGTTGTAATCATTTTACACAAAATCCACAAGTGTATGAATCACAAATAGATAAAAGCACGGTTTATAACGTAAACGTGCAATTGTATAATTGACGTGTCAATTTGAATATCAGTATTTTCTATTACTTATACACGTACATGATATCTATAATATTGTACAGCAATGCGAAAATAATATATTGAACAATCTCGTTGTATGTTTTATCTCGTTTTATATTGTACTTGTTATCTCTTTTTCTCTTGTATAGATACTTCCGTACTATTCTTGCATGACATTACCATACAAATATGACAAACGTTATAAAGACTATAGTCTGCTTTTTATATGTAAAATGTATACAGGTATTATAACATTTCAACAATAAACCTCGATTTAATTTATGTTCTACACTCATGAATTGTTGCATTACTGCTAATTACTCATTATATATTCAATGTATAAATTATATTTAACTCTTTGAAATTATTACATCCCTCACTATTTATTATTACTTTGATGTTTTTATTCTTTTGCTATAATTATCTAACATACATTTCTACATGCAAATTATTGAGTGGAAAAAATGTTAATGATAAATTTCCCTTTTTTCACGGGTGTTTTAATTCAGGAAATAATTAAAATCACATTAAAAATGGTTATTATCTAGTAAAATTATTTGAGATTGAATATATTTTTTTAAATAATTGACTCGTAATTGTATAACAACTTGTACTTGAAGGTGAGTATTAATGAAGAAATGTGAAAATAGATAGAAATAAGGTAAGAAAAAAATCAGCAAAATATTTTTTAAGATATTTTTTTTATTCTCCATTTATTGTCCACTTTGTATTAATAGCAACATACAACATGTGGAACAGTTTGAATATTTACAATTAAAATTTATTTGGTTTTTTTTTACCATTGAACGTATAAAAATATGACAGTATGTGTAACACGGTTATATACAAAGTGTACATATAAGTAACAACATCCTTTATCATTTTAATTCTTGTATCGTAATTTTTTCCTTTGTATGATAATTCACGTGTTAACTAAATATGAATATAAATATCATTTATGAATATGTGAATTAAGAATCGTGAAAGAGTCTCATGTTTTAAGCGCACAATGTTGCATATTGGCTTTACTTTGAGTATCACGAGATTTTTTTTTTAATATTAAATCACTTGAATTTGTAACCAAATGCTCTACCTTGTTACTTATTGACACTTCAGCAATAACAATAACAAAGTTAATAAACGTAACACTAATAATTATATGTACAATAAAAATAAATGTAAATAATAGTCTCTCATTTTTTGCATATTTTTTTTGAATTAAAAGTAATCTTCTATGATTGTTACTAGTACATTACTTCATATACTGTCGCTTTCTTGTCACCAGAGCCAGTAACAATGTATTTATCATCAGCAGAAATGTCACAGCTCAATACTGATGATGACTCTTTCGACTGAAAAAAGAAAAAAATAGTTTTTTTTTAATATTTATATTTTTATCATTATGTAAATAATTATTCTGTGATATTTAAATTATTTTGCAACTATAATTATTAGTATTGGAATGTATGTCACGTAGTCAATAAAACAATTTTATCTAATCACTAAATGTCAAATTATCATTTAAAATTTAATTGAATGAGTATTATTTTATTTATATTATGAAATGATATTATCACATTAAATAGTTTGGGTTTACACTTTTTATATGTATATGAACAATCGCGAAGTGGATTGAAATACATGCATGTAAACATGAACTCAAGGACGTCGTTGTACAAGGAGAACCGAGAGCTTTTCATGCTGACCTCTTGACCATCAAAATCAAATGTCCAATAAATAATGTGTATACACATTCTAGTGTATGAATAAATGCAAAATGTGTAATGATAAGATAGTAAAATATTCAGAGTTAACATTTCATAATAGCAGAGGATGTTTACGCTATTTTGGCATTGATGTAAAAATTTTCAATTTTATTTTTAAAATTCATATTAATTCCAAGACCTCTGCTGATTGAATAGTAAAAAAGAATTATCTCAAGGCTTGTTAAAATAATTGCAAGGTTGATTTTACATTGGCAAGGTAGAAAGAAATATATTCCTAAGGCTGACTGCCAAAAAATAAGACTTGAAGATAAAAAACTTACTTGGAATATCGAGGCACCGTAGGGTGTGCGCCAAGCATTGAGTAGATTGTCTTTGCCAGTTGAAACGAACCATTTTCCACAGGATGCGAATCTCAATGATAGCACACAGGATTCATGAAGATGTAATTGATACTTGTCGGGCTTGGTGGCATGTAATACTTCGACATTAGAGTTCTCCATGCCTACTGCAAGCCATTCACCAGTTGGACAATAGCCAAGAGAGAAGATTTGTGATGTAAAATCATGTTGTTGGAGTTGTCTGCCTTCCCTCAAATCCCAAGACCTGACAGTATTGTCAAGGCCGCCAGTCCAGAGTTTAGATCCATCAGCAGAGATGTCAATGCACGACGCACCATCAGTATGTCCTTGGAACTGCCTCACTAGTGTTTGATTTTGGAGATCCCAGACAGCGATGTGACCATCACTGCAGCAACTGAAGCAAACTTTGGAGTCTGGTGAGATAGCCAAAGCATAACAGGCGGGTGCCGCGGATGTGAGCTCTGCTTTGATTCTTGGAGTTGGACTCGCGAGATCCCAGATACTAAGTTGACTTGCTTCACCGCCAACAATAAGTGTTCTACCATCTGGTAGTAACTTCACTGATCTAATGTAGTTGTCGCGTTGGAGACAGTCGAGTTGTGAAACTGGTTTAGCACTTCCAGCTGCCCCTTGACCAATGTCCCAGACTTTGACGCAACCCTTGCCACCTGTGTACACATACTTAGTAGGATTGGAGATTGTCACAGCACATACGACCTCGCCATGAGTAAGTGTATTTATCTGACGCGCGTGTCTTGGTATTCCTGGTCCGATAAGCGCATCAGGTGGAAATGGCACGGGTTGCATTTGCCCTTCACTTGGCACATGAAAGCTGTAGGCTCTGTAATTATCGAGAATTTTTTTTTTTACATTTCTGAATTTTTAAAATTTTTTTTTAAAGAAAAAACATGCAAATATGTAAGATATGAGAAAATATATACGGGTAAAAGGAATTTCTTTAACTTATCATTGCAATTACTTTTTATAACTATCCGTTTCTGAATAATATTAGCAAATTAACAAAAGAAATTTTCTTTTAAAACGCTCACTTCTACATTTATTTTCAAAAGACTGTATCTTGAATAAATTTATCACTACTCGTAATTTTCGAAAGATTAGAAGCATAATTTTATCAATGCTACGAATTTATATTTTTCTTGAAGCAATATATTGAGCAGGGTAACTGTTTGAAGGTAAACTTAAACAAGAAACTTCTGATAAATATACTAACGGTTTACCACCAGGCACTCCGATAGTGCCTGCGGGTGCCCTCATGGCATTATGAGGATCATACAGTTGTTGAAGTGAAGGCGGTCCCCGAGGTGCCGCATATCCATTGTATCCCATCATGTCGACATGAGGTGGAGGCAGATGATGTGGTGGAGGTCCCGGAGGATAGTGAGGTGGATATGCGCCTACTACTCCCGGGGGTGGTGGACCTTGTAGAAGTTTACTAGAAGTTGTAGCTTTCACTCCACTAGCTGAGGTCGGTGTCATTGGCTTGGAAATTGGCGTAGTTGGTTTCTCACGTTCTTCCATCTTCTTAGCTGATGGTGTACTAGCGTTACTACTGGTTCCACTTCGTGGTGAATGGGGTGGAACATCTTTCTTCACTTGAACGTTTGAGTTTAGAGAGGAAACTTTGTCTAAACCATTTTCACGTGGAGATGAGGTTCCATTTACGGCTGGGCTTGTTGGCCCTTCACTTGCATCATCAACAACCAAGTCTTGATCACTCTTTTCACCATCACTCTGTATTCAAAACCCAATTTGTATTATGTTTAATCTTAAACTAGTTAAACAGTAGTTGTTATCAAATAAATAAGTTTGTTAAAAATAATCAGATAAATTTTATCAATAAAAAAAATTATTTCAAATAATTACAGAATATTTTTAAAAACATGAATAAATAATAAAAATTAATTTATTTATTTTTAATTATACTTAAATTTTTGAAACAATTTATAAAATGATGTTACATTAAAAAAAAAAATTTAATTAATTAAGTAAATGAAAATAATGAAACTTACATGTCCAATATCTTTATCTTCTTTCTTCATTTTTTTAATATGCATAGGATGATCATGATGATTTTGTGAATGATGACTGTGATGTGAATCTTGTGGTGTTCGAGGCCTACTATATTTATCACCAGGGGATATTGAACTTCGCTGTAATCAAATAAGAAAAAAATAAATAAAAATGATAATCTATATCAATAAACGATTCTATTTGGTAAGCATTGAAAGACATGAAATAAAACGTAAACGTATTGAAAAGATAAAGTGGAGTAGTATTACAATAAATTTTATGTCGAGTATTTTTCATGAATTTATCTAGGTCACGAGACAAGAAATAGTCGATACACCGATTATCTCGTTAAAATTTTTGTCGATTTTCTTACGAATTGATTGAGGCCACGAGACTAACAATGTATGTTAAAATATTCAAACGAATAAGACAATAAATTTTTGTTAAATTTGGCATTGAGTGTTTTCTATGAATTCGTTAAAAATCAATAGCAAAAAAATCCTTCGAATCAAACCATCGGTTACGAGATTAAAATTCTTGTGTTGGAAGTTTTCTACGAATTTAACAAAACTCTAAAGCACTTCGAAGCAGTTATAAACGATTAAGACAGTAAATCAATCTCAATGGATACTATTGCTCTAGAATTATTACTTCTTAATGCTAGCAAAAAAGAAATCTGATTGATGGTGTATATTTTATATTACGAAAAAATTCCTAATAGAAAGTAATGGCATTAATTTTAATCTGAAAAATTAAACATAAATACAAAATGACAATACTGATTTAAAGAGAAATAATATGATTGTAATCATATAATGCTGTTGGATTAAATAAGTTAATAAGGATCACATTATCCTGAATGATACAATAGAAATTAAAATCGTCAATGGATAGATATGAAGGTAATACGACTAAAAACACAATTGATCAAACGGTTCATTCATTTATTAACATAATGAAAACGTAATTCATTATACCAACGTTTTATTAAATTCCAACAACAGTGAATAGCGAGTATAGCAAATTATTTCTGATACCGGCGTTCAACTTTGTCGTGGATTTTCCATTAGTTAATTCCATACTCGAGGACATTATTATTAAAATACAATTTCCATAGGTAATTTCGAGATTGAATAATGAAGTTATGCAAGTGTAAAATCGACGATCGCTTTGATGTATTAATTATCGGGATCGACTTCCTTTTATAGGTATCTCAATTCAGAAACTGCCTGCAAATGCCGTTGATTACCAATTGAAATTTACATTGCGCGAAAGCCAAGAGAAACATGATTGTATATGTGATATACTTATATTAAGAGTGAGTGAGACAGATTATTATTGCATATTTAACACTTTCATATGGATATATTATTTAAAATTCACACTAACCTATTATAGAACTCTAACTCATACTTGTATCATGTTTACACAAGAGATTGCCTATAAATGCTAGTTATTATGATTAATTAAAATGTTACGTATCGACATCAATTAATAGATTATTTTTAATTCTAAAGGTATTTCAGATATTAATTAAATACTGCTCCATTTCCAACTAAAGTCTATCTTGTTTATGTTAAAAAATATAATTAATACTGTCGGTTTATTGCATAATTATTTACTAATTGAATAAGTCGAATTAAATGAACGAAATTTTAATTAATTTATTACAGAATATATACATTAATTAATGAATAAAAAAAATTCAATATTTAGTTTGATTTTATTTATTTATTATTTATGTTTAAATGAGTCATCGTAAGGTCAATGTCCCAATTTTGCTTACATTTTTATTATTGCTTAATAAACTGCATCATTCAAGTAAAAAAAAAAATTTTGTTTATCAATATTTATAAAAACGTATATCTTTATAATACTGATAATCATTTAATTATTTAGCTGATAAAAAAATGTTTATACAAAAAATTACATCTTTTATTTAAATAATAAAGTTGATGTTGAAATATTTAATATGATTAATTTAATAAATATCAATATATCTATTGAATAATTATCTATAGCTAAATAGAGTTGAAATTTTATTTATAGTATTTTTTTTTTTTTAATAAAGAAGCAAGCAAAAATTAAGACATTAAAATTCTTTTTTAAAATGCATTTTTTTGGTCGCAAATGAAAACCTATGTACCAAACACAAATTTGTGCTTCAATGATAAGAAAAAAAAAAACAAAAACTTTAGTATTTTATTCTTAGCAATTTTGTTAGTACAATTTTCAAGTGTAAATCGCTGAATCATTGCATTAAAGAATCGTAATTATAACACAACGCAAAAAAAAACCTAAACAATCAAATTAATTATCGTGTAAATATTAGAGAGAAAAATGTTTTTAAATTAAAATGATATGAAAAAAAATGAAAAAGAGACCAAGATATGTATAGAAAAAGAGAGAGAAAAAATGGGGATGATAGTGATTACAGGCTGCACGATGACGAGGTGGAGAAAAATAAGGTATGAAGAGAATAAAAGAGCATGCGATGCGAATTGCAGGGGAGAAAAAGACAAAAGCGTGCCGAGATATAGAGGAGAAGCGGCAAAGAAGTATAAGAGAGTACTGCACCCCGAGGACTCAGTAGAGTAGAGTGAAGAGGCTGTGCTAGCAGTGCAGTGTATTTGTAAGAGAGGATAAAATAGAATGGTAAAAGAATGAGAGGGCGTCGATGGGCGGTTCCGCGGTTCTACAATGATTACAGGCTTCGCAAACCTATAATACTCATCCTCGCCTTCTTTGCTTCGCTCTTGGCTATTCTCTCACTACCCTTTCTTCTTTTTTTTTTTCTCTTATTCGTCTTCTGCAACCTTCTCAAACGCTTCCTACACCATTTATATTCTCCTCATCGCGTTATTCTCTCTTTTCTTTGTCTTACAACCACGAAAAACGTAAATCGTGTGCCGAGTTCCGTGAGCTCCGGCACGTGACGTTTGTATGCGATCATACGTCACGGCTCTCCATTTATTCTTTCTCATTTTTTTCTTGGCTAGACAACTCATGTTAGGGGTTTACCAACGAGCATATCAGAAATTGAAAGCATCTATAGCTCTTTTCTCGCAATCTCATGATATCTTTCACAGTCATTCAGTATGATAGATTTTCCCACAGAATATAGACTTTTCTTTATTGATATATGATACCGATTTTATGAAGTGAAAATTGTAGATATTTATTATCTGACTATTTACAAAGTGTTTCTTTTATATTAATCATAAAAAAAAAGCCAATTCAAAGCTGAACAATAAATTAATTCGCAATCGAAATGATAAATGATTTTCACGATTTTTATTAATTTTATTATAAATCGTTATTGATAATGGAAAATAAAAAAAAATTCCAAAAATGTTGGTACTTACATGTCGTTCCTCTGTCGAACTCAACCCTGCAACAAACCAAAATAACCACGAATTTAGAATATTTATTTTATTTATTTTCGTAATAAATGTTGTATTGTATCAGTTAAAAAAAAAAATTTCAATAATATTTTTTCTTTCTATTTTCAAAAATGCTATGTATTTTTTTTTTGTTATTTTTCTTTTTTATTCCCCACTGAACAACACGATTGCAATATGGCGGAGTTATACAGCGTGTGTATGCGTCAGTGGCGGTGAGAATACCAATAACGATGCTGTACACGCGCGTCAGAGTCTGTATAAATGATCTTCATGCATATTTATGCCTGCGATTTTCACAAAACCACCCGTTATTTCTTTCTCCCTTGAATCCATTCTCTATCTCTCACTAGGGTGTTCGCCAACATAACACATTGGCAAACACGTTTCAAAAGAGGATATCGCTTTGAAAATTTCCACCTGAACGTGCTCTCACTCTTTTCTATCTTTTTCCTCTTTCTCCCTCTCTTTACTACATATTTTTTTTGCCCCATCCACTGCCCCTACCATTGGCCCCTGATCGATCCAACTACTCGACTAACCCCTTGCTCCCGGGCACCATACATTCGCATGTGAGATCAAACAGGATGAGGCTTGAGAGGTGAATGGGACGAAAAAAAGTACGCGCCAGAGCAATAAGGGTAAAAAAAAGTATTTTGCACATAGCGTTGTCGCTGCACCTGGCTACGATTAATTGGCGATGCTCTCCACTCAGCCATTTTAAATAAAAGGGTTTCAACTAAGGGAGGAATTTTAATAGAACGACAGAGATGCAATGTGAAAAGGGGAATAAAAAAAACTGTATTAAATAATCGTACAATTATCGTGTAATTTGATTTTTATCATGAATATATATATATATATATATATGTATAAATATGTGTGCACTCTCTGATTTAAACTATTTCTCATTAATTCAATTTTTTTTCTGAGACTCAAGATGTAATTAAAGTGATTAAAAAACAGTCTCGAAAGATACCGAACCTTTTACACAAGTTTATCTGCATATGTAATTAAGCTTTAGACATTAAATGATTGTATAAATTATTTTAATTGTAAAATTATGACATTGCGATTGAATAAGGAGAAACTTGAATTAAATTAATCCATATGCAAGTTTTAGATATTTCGATGCAATAATTTATATTGTGAATAAAAATAATGGTTTAATTAATTAATTTAATTTCAAGTATTTTTAATTATTGATAATTAAATTATTTTCGTGTATTAAATGGATTAAGAAAAATGTTAATGTTCAAATAATTTATTCGATTCTAAAGGATACCAATTTACTTTAATTATTATTTTTAAAACCAAAATATATTGGAGAATTAATTGTTGCTTCACTGATCCCTTATTTCTTATGAGGATTATTTTTTGAACAAAAAGTCTCTATGGTTTAAACCTCAATTTAAATGAATACACGAAGAAAAAAAAAGAATGATGTTGATTCAAGTATATATATTACAAACCTCCATTGCTTTTCAGATCATCTGGCTGGCCACGATGGATTTCCGGCTTGCCAAGCATAGAAAGTGGATGTGTCGAATTAGTACCAGCTGTTGTAGCTACACCAGGAGTAAGTCCAAGACCCAGAAGTGCGGCTGAAGCAGAAGTAGGAACTTGAAGTCCACCAGCAGGTCCAAGTCCTGGTAGACCAGGTAATCCAGGATGTGGACCTATTGCTGCACCTGGTGGTAATTGTTGTGCATGCATTTGCTGAAGCAGTCTTGGTATGTCAGGTCTCTGTTGCTGCAATGCCAAATAATTCATTATTATGCTGACAAGTAATTACTTTAAGTCATTTCATTTTATTTATAATGAAAATGAAAACAATGTCATCAAGATTTGTAATTAAATAAAATGATGATACTGAATAAAACAGTTATTTTAATTAAGAATTTGCTAACAATGAGACTGATATTTAACTCCAATGCTTGAGTTGTTTTATTTAACGGTGATCTTTTGTATGAAAAGAAATTTTGAGTCAAAATTACTGTTTTACTTTAATAAAAGTGAAGTGTCATTCTTAACATTTAATTCAGATTAATTTTTACTGTTCTTTTTTTTTTGTAATTTTTGCAGAGCTATCACATTGTTCAAATGAAATTGGAAAACTTTGCAAATGTACGTGAAATGTGAGCTATCACTTTTGATACAGGTTTGTTCAATACTTTAATAATTTTTCAACAACTCTTATAGGATATAGCAGACTTGCGAGGAAATGAAGTTATTATCGAGTCATAGCTAAATACGAAACCATTACTGGATGATAATTTCATGTCAGTCCCAATGATAGGTCTGTTGTATATTCCTATCATGGAAATTCCCTTCCATTTCTCCATGTTTGCTATGGTAAGTTGGTAATTTTTGTTTTCAATTCATCATTATTGAAAAAAAAAAGATATCAATTATTAAAAATCTCTTGAAGTAAAAAAAGTGAAACTGATTAAAAATATATGATCTTTTGACAACGCTTTCAGTCATGTGTATATATGACTGTAAATGATGGCAATATCAATGACTCTAATCGTTATTGAAAAGACTATAAGCACACTTGAATAGACCCGTATACATACGAGGGATCGGTACAGACTAATAAGGATCTGACATTTGGTGGGTCGGAGTTTCTCTCTAGAGAGGGTGGTCCGATTAAACGCAACAGCGTGTTTCATCGATGTCTCGCACGTGTGCACTGAGGGACAATTTGCACTTGGATCGTGGCAACCGCAGCACCGAGTAGGATATCGTAACGCATTTGAGCCACCCTTCAGAGTCATACTATGATGTGTATGGGTAGTCGTGCTTGATAAACATACACGACGACAGTGTCAGGCAACACCCTTAGGCGACACTCACGCACATTCCCATCATCCGCATTTACGATTCAACAAAGAACGAGGGGTTAAGGTACGGATATTACTGAACCGAGACCTAGGGGGGTAGTTGTCCCTAGGAGACCCGATAAACTCGTTACGGGCGCGAATCCAGCTTATCGGGGATTTCACTTAGGCATTTAGGCTTCCTGCCCTAAAGAAACGAGGGGTCTCTTCATCCCCAACATTCAACAACCCTCGTATATATACTCAATGGACTCATGAGGGTGAAAACACCCCCCAACTACTATGCCTGTAGTGCACCGATTGTGATAGTTATTTTCGTGATACACTGAGGGTTGGTGGCCACACCGGAAGCCGAGCAACCCTCGTTGATCTCCATGGGGGATGTTTCTCTCACCAGGACAATAATGTCCGCAAGAAGGGGACCAGAAAATGCTCGTGAACGCATGTGTACAGAATATAAACTCCCTCAGCAGATTCTGTAATTCGTTCAGGCATTAACTTCTGGCAAGGATTGGTAGTCCATTAAGCCTATTGCCCTACTCTACGACGACCAAATTAATTTCCGTGTAACTCGCACACATACACTTGACCATAAATTGATGTGTGTATATGTGTTTAAGTAATTTAAAGGCGTGCAGAATATTTTATTTTCTTTTGTGATAAAAAAAAATCTGGATTTATACGTCGAGGAGTTAAGCCTTCAATATAATCAACAAATTACAATTACAAAAAAAAATTTATCCCCGTTAGTTTATTCTGTTCTTTAAATATTTATCAAGTGTATAGAAAAATTTGGATGAAAACACGATTTAATTTATTGTGTATACCACACTTTAACCGTCTATTATTTCTATCCCTCATTTTAATCCTCACCTAACTGCACATCCATAGAATTAATGAAAACTTTTCCAGTTTATTATTAATTATTAATTCAATGAAATTTATATTTAAATCCTATTTGTATTGAGAATTGATTAGATTTTCATATGTAAATATTGACCATCCGAAATATTGTTTTGTGACAAAATATTTATATAAATATTGATTCAAGTACTAATGAAAATTGATCCTTTCATGAAAAATTTTTAAATCAATTTTTCCCACAAATGATGAACATTCAACCTCAATTTATGATTACAAGGTTTGAGTTAAATTTAAAAATACTAGTAAATTATCTACTAGAGTAACAATATAAAAAAAAAGAAAAGCTAGTGCATGAAGCCGATAATTTGTTGATGTCTATCTTTAGAATCGTTAAATCAGAACAGTTGAAGCAATTCTCTGAAAGCCTAAATCATTTGGTCACAAACCAGTCATTATCTTCAAAGGCATACATGTCACAATGAGTAAAAATTAATCTCCTGAATAAAACCCACTATATTATGAGCCATAGAACAACCCTACATCTTTGGCGCATGAGTGGCAACTAAATGTAACAAACGATATATAGCTGGAACAGGGGAACTCTGTACTTTATGTTGGGCGCACGAAACGGAACGTAATAGTTTCAAACGAGGTTTAACGCGCCGTGAATAATCTGGTGCATCAGTGGTGAAAGCGTGCCAGGGGTGTACCTGTGAACCCCAACTGGAGTTGCGACTAGTATGCCGTGTGTTTTCAAGGGGGAAAGCGTTCGTGCTATAACACAGTAGAGAAGGAATGAGATAGAAGATTGTTAGAGAAAGGGGCAACCAACCCTCTATGTACCCATCCCCTCGTCGACTGATGTGCAGTGTTATTAAACGAAATATTGATTCAACCCCTGTTTACTGAGTAATACATATTCATGGGGTTGGCGCTTCGGTCTGTTTGCTTCATCCTCTCATCTCTCTTGTTACCTATCCTTGTTTCACCATACACATTCTACCCTTTAGGCATATACATCCCTTTAGCTCGCTCATTCTGTTCCCGGCTTTTCACAGAACACCGAGCAACGCCTCGTGGCGGTTCTACACGTGTACAGACGTGTCATTGTAGCCGCCAATATGTGTACAACCGTCACCCGACGATGAATCCACTCGCGCAATTAGAATATCCGTCCACATGTGTTCTGATTACTCATCCGTATTTCTCAAGCTTTGTAATATTATTTGCAATGTACATTCACGTTTATGGCTGTATCATCTTATGTCATTTATTCTCTCTTTCAACGTGACCACAGTCTCGTGCTCTTTGAAACTTGACTTTATTTTATTAATAATCAACTTCATTGCTTCTTCATACTCTACACTTCTCAAGTGAGTTTTCAGCATTGCTGGTTAAATTTAATTCACTCCGAAAATAGTATTTACTTGGAGAAAAGATTACTCCAAAAAGAACAAAATCATGTTGAAGTCGTTAGTTTATATCCTCTTTTCTCTGGAGATGGAAGTAATAAAGAGAAATTTGATTAGTCACTTTTGATAATAGGAAATTTTTTTTATCATCGAAAATTTTACTGATAATATTAATAAAAATAAAATCCACTAATGTGCCAATGTTTTTGAATCTGTCCACTAATAAATCAGTAATTCCTTCATAAAATCTGTATTACAAAATACCGAATTTTTAATATTTTAATTAATTGTTATTGATGGTTAGTCAAATCCTCTGATAAACTTTTAAAGAGCAGACTAGGTAATTTTTACTACACCATTGATTTATCTTTAATTAATCCATAAAATGAGGATAATTATTTCAAATGAATAAAAAATCTATTCAATATTTACCCAGTTATTGTTGGAGTATCTTAATTGAGTTATCAGACCATTATTAAAAGTATATATAAAAAAAAAATGTTTTGCTGACGTGTGTATGAGTTATTTTTCTCTTTTGAAAACGTTATGTATTTGTTCCCTTGTGTTTCGCTTCGATCACCATCACGGATTGTATTGTGAACATCGGTTTGTTTTTATGGCGAAGCATCGGAACGACTGGGGGTATACGCAAGTTTAAATTTCCCAAGTGACAAGCGAACGTGAATTGGATTCCGAATGACATTATTCGTTGGTTATGTGGGCGGATGTTCTGTACAAGCGAGAATTGAGAGAGGCCAATTTTTGAGAGATATCACAAATACATATATGCACATATATATATATCTATGTATATAAAAGTTTTTAATAACGTACGTAAACTTTTTTCATCGAAACAGTTATTTTCTTTAAATAAATTTCTCTATAGATTTTAATAAAAAGCTATCTCTATTTTTTATTTTTTTGTGAAACAATAATTGCAATAAAAAATAAACCATTCAAATGTTGGTAAGCTCGCGTATTATTTTGTTGCTAATAAAAATATTTATATAGTGTACCAGTAAATGATGGTTATTCATAATAAAATGTTAGATGTGAATATTTTCTTAGACTGAAGTAAGAATAAAAAAGTTATTGAGTGTATAAAGTAAACGGAGTACTTATTTATACTTCAGAACAGCATTTTAGATTGCAATCTATGAACGATAAAAATTTTACACAGAAAAAACGTTTCGAAATGGTTTAATATAGATGGTGATAAATTTATTCATGACAGTAATAGTGCATTAAACATAACTAAAATTATGATTCAAGAGATGAAGCTAAAGTTGATGGGAAAAGTTTTTAATTGTATGAATATTTTTCACAAGTATTATTATTAATTCAACGTATCATGAACATACTTTTTAAAAACAAATCATTGAATATCCTTCACTGTTTCATTTTTAGAAAGTGCATGATTTATCCACCACAGTTCAATTGTCGTTACTGATTGGTTTATTAACCCTCACCTCATGCAACACAATTGAATTACTAACTTAAGAAAGGGAGTAAAACAATCAACTGTCAAAGATCAAACATAGTTAAAAATTTCATTTTTAAATTATTTTCCAGAAGAAAAAATCAATAGCTCACTTTTTGAAACATAATAGCTTTACTCTCAATCAATTACTGCTCCAATAAATGAATTAATGCAAAAAAAAAAAAAAAAAAAAAAACAAAATGTTTTCTTTTACCAAAAATAAAATAAAAAATATTTGTAAATATAAATAGATGATAAGTACGTTGAACAGTAATAATTGTTATTGAAACTTGTTAACTAGCTTTTGCAGAATTACTCAGCAATAACGAAATCCCTACAGGCTTTGCAGCGTCTAAGTTTGGCGGATAAGGCGTCACTTAACTGTTAAAAGGGAACGATGACAGAATAACAGGCAAAGAGAGAAGCATAGAAGATAGAGAGAAGAGAACTCGGGAAATTATTCACGTCGTAGAGCTACAGCCATTCAACAACGACAGTACCGAGTACCAACGGAACTCAATTATACGGGACCACGCTCGAATGCCAATTTCAACGCTTATCGGTGTAATACACACTACGAAATAAGTCTGGCCGCGTTGGGTGTCGAATAACGTGCGCTACTGAATTTCAATGTATACCCGATAGCACATCATCCATGTTCTCTCTTTCTCTGTCACTTCATAATCTCTCTCTCTCTCTCTTTGTCTCTTTCACTTTATACATTATTCTGTCTCTCACTTATTCATCCGTGAATCGATTAACAATTATTACTGTCCGCGGATGTGGCGGATATGTCGAGAAACACAATTAAAGCCGTTCAATTATTCTCTTTGGTGCAAAGTTACAGTAATTTCACTTGTTTTAAACAAATACTTGCATAAATGTTTGTTTCAACCTATATACATATGTTTCATGTTTTATTGGCTTTTTTTTTTATTGCATTTTAACCTTCCATTTTAGTTGAAAAAAAAAACTACCAGAATAGATGCAAACATGGAAAAATTAAAATTCCATTCCCATTTATATAAATACAAGTCTTGTTGAATAATCGGTTTAGAAAATTCTATTGATACTTGATTACATTTTAATAGACCGACAAAAAAGAAAATAAAAAATTTTTCATGCAGCTTAAATTCTTTTGACAGATATTCGATCACCGCAAAGTTATTATGCATAATGATTATCATGATTATTTTCTGCAAAACATAAATCTTTACAAGCTATAAGAAGTATTTACATATATTAACTTACCCCAACTATAGAATTAAGCTCTGTCATCGTAACCTGTTTAGCTCTGTCTACCGCTGTTAAAACCTGTTGTTGATGCTCCTGAGAGAGGAATGGCAAGATTTGAACTATTATTGCATTCAGTCTCTTCGATATTTCCGTCTGTAAGAAATAGAAAGAAAAAAAATCAACCAATTTGCCAGCCTTCCATCAAAAGCTATCAAAATTAATGAGTAAAATTCAATGAATGAAAAATTGCGGTAAAGAAAAATAAAATACATCAAGTCTCGAGGTTTCTTAGATGGTCAATCGGCAATCGGCTCATTTACCTTGTAAGCACGAGCCTCTCGCGTGGGCTCGGTTCTCTCTACAAACGAGAATTATTTATATCTTACATTTACGCCCGCGCGTTTCTCTACCATCTTTCTTCATTCTCACACGCTGACTTCTGAAAGCATTATATTTTTTCAACCGTTCGTATATACCTTTTTTCAGTCGTTTTTTTTTCTCCTTCATCACTAAACTAACGCCTTCTTCTCTTAGCAAGTCTCATGAAAAACACTTTTGTACTGACGCCTTTTAACTCGACGGGAGATCAAACGACGCGTGAGGTAAAACCTCAGTTGTGAAATGTTCTAATAACATTCCCCTACTGCCATTCATTTATATCTATTTAGTTTAACTGCCAAGTGTACTATAAAACTAAACGAGAAAAATATCCCTCTATATAAATTTTTTATGACAACTGTAATAAAAAATTTATACTTAACAATATCTTTTTTTGTTATTATCATGTTCCTTTCTCATCTTTTTTTATCCAATTTTTTCCTTAATTTTTATCCTCATAATGATTTAATTAAATCGAATTAACTGAAACACTGGGAACAATTTTTTTTTATAATGTTACTTTAATTGGAATAAAAAAAAAAATAATTGCATAAATGTTTCAATTATCTTCATTTTATATTATAGAATGCGTATTTTTTCCTTAATTTTAATTTCAATTTACATTATATTAAAATATTCAATTAATTTGATAAAAACGTAAAATACTCAATTAAATTTTCGGTTAAATATTTTCCATAAGTTAAAATTATCGAAACAATGCAAATTTAAAATGATTACAATTTCAATATTAATTACTTTTTACCAATCATTCTAATTAATCCTGAAAAATAATAATAAATATGTTGCCCATCAAACTAATTTAATTACAAGAAATTCAAATTAAATCATTGCTTAAAAAGCGTAGTGACACAAATAAAATCTTTTAATTAAAAAAAAAATGATTATATTCATATATAAAATGGAGTACAGTTGTAATAATAATACAGTGAGTATTAAATAAACGCACACGTGTCAAGTTTGAAATAAACCATTGCTCTTCATAAATTCTAAGCAGAAGATAGATAAAATTTTACGGTATTTGACGTTTCCACAAGGTCTCCAGGGTTATCTTCAACTAAACAAACATTTACACGGTTAATACCTTCAATCCATCTGGTGCTTTAATTACACGGCAGATGAGTATACAAAGTATAAAATGAATTAGTACAGGCTTACACACCTTTTACTTAGCCTACATATATATATACATGTACATCACAGCTTTCCATCACTCTTTTTCACGACCAAATCAAATATTCTTGACGTAAATAAATACTCAAATATAATATCGATTTAAACACTAATTTATCCATTATTTATACATAAAGTAACTGCAAATTTATTTTTGAATAACCCATTATCAATTAATTAATTTTATATCGAAATAAACACAGAAAAAAAAATTAACAAAAACAAATGTTAATTAATTTGTTAACAAATAATTAAAATAGTAGTTTTGAGTCCAAGTAGCACATGAATACATTTAATTGATTTACATTTAAAGAAAAAAAACATGTTCAAATAGTTAACAGATTAGGAACGGAATAATTGATTATTAATCAATATTTTGGTAAATATTAAATGATATGATTACATGAAATTAAATTTTATTTGTGACTATTTTATCAGTTTTACAAATACAGGTAGTTCTGTTCGCCAGAACAATCTATATATGTCTGAATTTTAAATAAATATACAATATAATCATCTAATGAGGATATTTACTATCTGCATTATCTAATACGACCTTGAATTATTAATATAATTGTGATGCGTCATGTTAACATGTAAACCCTGATATTACTTTATTTACATGAATTATTTCGATCAATTAATAACAACCAAAATATATGGGTCTTGAATAACAAACAGTCATGTTCCGTCTGGTGTAAGGAAAATAATAAAACTGATTATGAGTTAAATATTTTCATTGAAATTGATGTAATATTTTTTATTGAAATAAATAAATAGTGATGAAAAGTTGTAAAATAAGAAGAATGAGATTTCAATTAGTTTCTACTAAAGTCTCACGTTATTATCACATTTTGCATTAGTGCACACCAGTTCGAGTTTGTGACTACGACGGGCGTTAATTCACAGGTGTAAGCGAGGCCATTGTTATTAATTGAGGAAAACGTTCGCCGAGCCGCACCTCGTAAAAGTAATTACCCCGTTATCGTTTGCCGCAAGAGAATCACTGGGGAGTATTAACTGTGAGCCACTGAACAATGAAGAGGGAAGCAGAGAGGGAAAGAACCCACTTAACACTTTCAAAACTATAAATTCCATACGTTAAGCCGCAGTTGAATATTTCCAAGTTTACAAAACTTTGTCGATAAATAGATATTTGTACTATTTTGTAGAATAATATCTCAAGAAAAAATGAAAACTTTTGTGAAAAAATTATTTCAAGTATAATTTAAAATAATTAAATTGATGTTTTATTTTGATCAATAGTTTTATCGTACCTTCATAAGGTGATTTAATTATTTAACAGAAAATCAATTATTATTAGCTCTTAGTTGACCTCATTAGCATGAGACTACTCAAATAAATATTTGTAATATTAATAGCTTTTTTTATAACTTAGTGAATTAAATAAAAGAAATTTTTTATTATTAATCTCCAAAGCATAATATTTAATAATATGATTTTAATAAATTAAAAATAACATTTATTTTAGTATATAAATATAAATGAATGACTCATTTATGGAATGATTAAAATATTTTATTTTTATGATAGAATTGATAGATTACTTTATAATAATAAATTCAAATTTAATTGTAAGTTTTTTTAAAATTGGCTTCGTTATTATTTCATGATATCAACAGTTATACGTGAATGAGTGCATTTACATCTCCATAATTTTTTTCGTAAATCCGCCGTAAAAAGGAGAATTTTAGAAAAAAAAACACTCCAAAATGTTGATTTTTCGATTTTCTAGAGCCAAATAACAAGGGTACCGCGATAGTATAAAATTACCCATGATAAGTTAATTTGCAATTATAAAATTTTTTTCACAATATAGTAAATTTTTCTTTTAATGTTAAATATTTCATTTTTATCAATATTCTAGAGTTTCTATATATTAGTCATTTCCGTTATTACAAATAAATATTTAATATTAATGAAAAAATTTAGAATGTCAATAATTTATAATTCATCACTGATTTTTAATATATATTTCATAAACTCACCTGTTTGTGCATTTCGACGTTGAGTCCATATGACATCTCGTAATACTGTAAAATAAATAAAAAAAAAACTTATTAAAAAATATATTTAGACATAATGAAAAAAATGGTTGGATAACCGTTCAATCCAACATATGTTAAAGAGTTTAATTTATCTCAAAATTTATTACTTTATCTATTATTTGACAATTTATAAAAGAAAAAATTATTTTCAAATTTTTTTACAACTGGTCCAATATTTATTATTCAAATCATGTTAAAATTATAGGTACAGGTGATAGATTTATGGTAGTTTTGAATCAGGATAATTGTAACATAAAAATTATGAAGAGATAATAATAGAGATAATTCATTTAAACGGTATACATATGTGTATCAAACATGTATACATGTAGTGAAGTTTAGTGAGGTAGTTTAAAAGTAGATAAGGAGCAGAAAATGGTAGTCGAATAGCATCGATATTCTAAGAGCGTATACAAGACCGCGTGCAGCTTATACAGGTTCTTAATTTTATGGACCATTAGCTTAGTAATTACCTGCGCAATTAATTGCTTCGTAAGTGAGTTACTTGGCAGTACGGAAGCTCGGCAGGGAACGAGCGAACGAAATAAGGAAATGAAGAAATGAACAGAGTAAAAGAGATTATTCAGTTAAATAACCGCATTACTGGCTGACAAGTTAATTTCTTGTAAATCGCCAATATACGATTTCTAAATATCTTACGAAATTCCACTTGAAATGAGATTGATTAGTTACACTTTATTTTAATTAATACCTTAAATTTATGACTCTCTGACCAATTTTTTAGCAATTTTCTTTCCTTAAAATTAACGTAAATTCTTTTTAAAAAAATGCTTATGTATTTTATATTTAAATTTATTCTTTACAATATACTTTTTTATTGTGAAAATAAAATCGAATTTTAATTGATGATTTAAAATATTCATAAATTTCTCCTACCATATATTCATATTTGAAAATTAACTGTCAGATATATTTCAAATTTTTCGAGTGAAAAAATGTATATAAAATATTTTTTTCGCTTACATACGAAAATAGAAATTTGTAAACTAACGTTAACTTTATAATCCAGTAATAAATTTTAAAAAAATGGTCATATTTCAACGGTAAAAAACATTAGTACTAATTGTCAACTTTTTTAGTAAGAATAAAAAAAAAAAATAATAAATACGTAAAAATATCATAACTTTTCGAAGTATGTCTAATAAAGTAGCTGAGAAAATGTGGTTGGAATACACGATTTAACTGAGAATTTACAGACTTAAAGTCTTGATAAATCACTCCAACAACTTCCTTTCGCATCGTCAACTTGATTAATAGTGTTTGAACTAGTTGCCTCAGCGTGAATTAAATCTATACGTGAACTAAAGAAGTTTAATTGTGCCAAGGGAACAACATTTCCAAGTTATAACAAAAGTATATTACTTGTATTACTCTTTCACTTATATTTATATATCACAGACAAATATGTGAATTGTTAGTACATAGTGTCGACTCGATTAAGAGTGTACATTATGAAAGAGTTATGAGTGAGGGTATGGATTAAAGCCAAAACATAATAAACAACACTTTTGGCGAGGAAATAATAAATAAATTATTTCCATTAAGATGAAAACAGCATTTATGTAACCAACATTTATAAATCTAGTGGAATTTAGATGCCCATAAATATTACAGGGAATTTTTTGTCGGTTGTAAATATCGTTAAATGGATAAGATTAACATAAGAATAATTTGAGAATCCATTAATTTATCTATATAATGAACCTACAATAGGATATTAATGAAAATTTTGATGATAAGAGGATTATACGACCATTTTGTTAATTTAAATTTTGAAAGTCCTCTCCAAGTTCTAGTGTTATTTTTAATATTTATGTATCACTTTATCAGCTTTTTGTTTATATAGTCATTACGAAATTACTTAGAAAAGAATATCGTGATTTTTTCAAGTATATTCGACTCTTCATGAGTATACATAAATATTTCAGATAAGTAATATAATAGTAGATACTTACCATGACATAATGCCGTTGTATTTCTATTTTTTCAGTGGCTAATTTTTCGCATTCCAGTTTCATGCTGAAATAAAAAATTTTATCAGTAAAAAAATGTGTATTTCATTTGTTATTTATTATTTATTTTTTTATTTTTTGATTAAATATTGTAGAAAATAATTATAATAAAAAATAAAAAGTAATGAGTTCAAGCCTTCTTTTTACATACCAATACCAACATTTAAATGGAACTTCAATTTACTCTAATTTCAATTGTTTAAAGCAAAAAAAAAATATATCTATTCTTTTTGAATAAGTGTATTAAAGCGTGAAAATTTTTAACGTAGAAATTAAATTAAATTCCATGATGACAAAATAATTCAATATTTTATTGAAAAAAAAAAGTTTAGTCAAGGATATTAACCCCCTTATATTTTCTGCATTTATATAACCGTACATTGGTCTCGATAAAGTGGGAAAACATACGTCGATATCAAAATTGGAGTTAGCTATCTAGAAGAGAAATAAAGAAAAACTTGTAGCATTTGAATTGGAAAAGATAATGTGTCGTACGATTTCGTAGAAATATAAAAATGGATGTATACATAAAGTATTATAACAATCTTCTTATAGTCTAAAATTTCCCTTTTTTCCTGTTACCTCCTAGAGTTGAATATATAAATATACTACGCATATACACTAGGCTGATATGTATACTTGAGTTTTCGTCAGCTGCAAACGATTCCGCGGTTGTCCACCTGCTTCAACATATATCAGACGAGTAGTGTATATGCATAAAAAAGCAGAAATCGTGGTTATATGTCAAGAAAAGTGGAAAGAAAGCCGCGATGAACAAAGCGAATATTAAATCGAACCAAGAGACAATGAATAATCAATGAATCTAACGGTTTCTGTTTTCTACTTAAATATTCTTTGTAAGCTTAGACAGTATCTATATATATATATATATATTTGCAGTAAAGGAAACTCGTTCTTAACCATTTAAATGATGTCTAGTCTGCATTTTTTATCGGCCATAAAATATAGGTAAAAATCGCTTAAAGTAATATGCTAAATACTGTATAATTAATTTAATGAATGTTTTACAAGCATGTTCATTGGTTGCATAATTTTTTGGAGAACTTGAATAAAAGAAAACGAAAGGAAAGAAACACTTACTTATGGTACTGTGCCTGCAGAAAATTAAACTCCTCCTTAATCCTGTCGCAGGAATCACCCACCGTAAACTTGAACGGCTGGCCGGGCTGCGGTGGGCCCTGAAAACGTAAAAAAAAAAAATTATAAAGGTAAAGTAAAAAGTCCAGTGAGACGTATACATAAACACCGCAAGGCGGGACGATAGTCCCGACGAAACAGAGAGAGACCGGATGCGATAAATTATCCGCGAACGAAGGCCAGTCAGTCAGACTAAAAGAAGGAGAAAGTATAAAAAAACATAGAATAGGTATGTGTGTAAAAAGTAAGACAATTTACGAAAGCGTATAAACTGAAAATAAGAGACAAAATAAAGGAAACTAAAATGAGAAAACGGAAATGGCTTTATAGAAGTTTACATTTAAATATTTGCCGACCAGATGACGCCACCTTGTTGCTGATGTTTTATCAGCCAATCGAATCTATTTTAGTTTCAGTTCATATGGTAACAAATGATCTGATGAAAAACGAAATGATTGTCAAGTACTTCTTCACCTCTTCAAACTATCTATTAATATAATCAATTATCGTCGATTTAACATTTAAGCTTTTTGTCATTTACTTTATATATAAAAAAGTTTAATGATAAATATTTATCAAATATCCAATCTTTTACTCCATTATTTTATGTACACAAGAAAAATATTTAATGTAAAGTAATAAATTGTTGTCATTAATGCAAATTAATCTAAATATCTTCTAATTATAAAATATTTATTAAATTTAGAAATAAAATATTTTTTTATGAGAAAATTGCAATTCAAGTCACATAAAAAAATATTAAAATAACTTTTGATGGAGAAATTTGGAACAAGGTGGAATATTTTTACCTCAAATATTTCAATTAAGTATCACACACCTAAAATTATTATTATTATTTAAATAAGTAAGGAAATATTTATTACATCGCCTCAAATACTTCACCTTATGCTCCAGATTTGCAAAGCTTTTCTGGGCTTCTCAGAAAAATATTTATCCATTCAACTGAAAACTCATGAAATTAACCAACTAAAGCAGCAAACTTTCTTTCTTCGACAACAATAAAACAAAAAAAAAAAAGGTGAAGACTTAAAAGATAAAAGAGGCTAATTTTTTTAGCTAATATCTCAATATTCATTATTGTTATATCTTTATCTCCGTTCATCCGCTATTTATCGATAACTCAGTAATGTTTGTAGAAGTCACGTAAGTGCAAAGCGTACATATCATACGACTGGTGAACGTACATGTGTCGAATGATTAACTCGGCGCAGCTGCAGCCGGTAGAAAAGCAAATAAAGATTATAAAAAGAATCCCGGGAATATGCGAACATGAGGAAGAGGAGACTCGGAAGCACAAGAGAGATGAATGTAAAGCGGAGTAAAAAGATTAAGTACCAGCAGTAGTGTTAAACCGGTATGTTTGTCTCCTTCTTTCTCGTACTTTTCAACTGTTTATATATTCTGTTCAGGCGGGATAGACACACAAGTTCTTCCACACGCTTCAACAGTACAGTGAACATAATCTCAACTGACTGGCGTGGTGGAGTCGTCGGGTCACTGGTGTGTTGCATGTACGAGCGAGAACGATCTATATCTGTGAAGCAGGACAGAGACGCCCACAGCAAGTGTTAATTACATGTTTGCGGTGTCCACGAGGATTACACGCTACAACCGAAACTATGGGCTCGACTGGTAGCCGCCGATGCACTGGCATCACGCATAGTCTACACCACAGGTGCTGTACGAACTGTCTCAACAGACGCTCAGCATCAATAAACTCCCTACAACGACGTAACTTCCATTATTTCCATGCATGGGAAGCAACCAATGGCTCCTGCATTATTCAATCATTGTCTAACGCTAGTACTTTACTTCTCCCTCCGGTTTGTTTATAAATAACCCCAGTGAATAATCGGTTATTGTTGCTTTAATAAGACTTTCAGACTTTTTTATTGTTATATTACTTCTTAAATATCCTTTTTATCGTTCATCCATTTTTCCAATATTTCCGTCTTGCTTGGATATCTTATTTTACATCTTCAAGTTCTTTTCATCATTAAATTGTCTGTTATTATACCATTAAAGCTTTTATTAGAGTTAAATGATGCTTGGAACATCAAGCACTGGAAATTAAAATCAGAATTTTAGTATTTTCATTGAAAATCTGTTTCTGTTATGCCTTATTAAGAATCATGAAAGTATAAGATAATATTTTTTTTAATGAGATTAATTACATCAAGTGAATATACTTTATTTTATTTAGTCACAGAATTTTGATTTTAAATTTGAATCCAGTCTTTAACTTTTCTGGAATTTAATAACAAATAAATAATTACTTGTTAATTTCAATAATAACAATAATTTTTTTAGTTATAAGGATATTTTTTATATTGAATTAATAAGTTAGGTTCGAATAAATTAATGGTTATTTATACTTTTTATTTAAATTGATAAAAAAATTCTGTTTTTATATTCTTATATTTTAAATTATTTATTTTACAGTTTATCAACAATATTTATAATTTCTGTAAATAAATTTTTTTAAGTAAATATAAAAAAATTTTAGTTTTTTTATTTAGTTTATTTAAAATTTATTTTATCATTTGTATAACACACAACTGCATTTATTTGCACTCAAAAACATTATTTAATCGCATATCTATTGGCATATCATTAATTTATTCACTTTTAATATTTATTAAAATAAATATATAAAAAAATCAAAATTACTTGTAAAAAAATATATATTCATATAACCAATGTTCATTCAATAAGAAATTTATAATATAAATTAATCACAGTTGCTTCAGAAGTAGTTGCAAAAATATTTGCATAATAACTAATTTAAATATCTAATTTTATTTAAATGAGACGTGAGTTGATTTACATTCTTGAAGGATAATTATTGACTTTAATGATTAATTATAAATATAAAATGAGTAAGAATATAATCGTTAAACAATTGAATATTTATTCAACTATTTTAATGGAAGATATATGTAATTTATTTCAATAAAATGAATGATCATTAAGAAATGTATATAATGATTGAGTTGTATAGAGAATGATGACTGATTGATTGAAGAAAAAAGGAAAAAAATACCGAGATGAGCGTGTATTATCGATATATCAAGAAATGTTGTGGTTGATAATCTACACTCCAGGTGCTATATTTGAACTGTTTCAACAGATGCTTATCATCAGTTAACTCACTATAACTACCTAACTTTCATTATTTCCATGCAGTGGAAGCTCTAGAGTTTTATAGACGATTTTATTGTTCCCGTAAGTCAAGGGTCAATTACCCGTAATTTTCAACTGCGGAAGAGGATCCTACAGTCTAATTAAAGTGTATCGAACCGACCCGTAAAATTACCTAAGCTTGAATAATACTCTGAGATCCATAGTGGAATGATGATAGAAAAGGAGTACTTGATAAGAAGAATAAAGACCTTATCTTAAAAAGTTGTTTCAACGAGAGACTCGTGACCCTGATGACAATCAAGTCATTGTGAACGATCTTGAGATCTTTTACAATTTTTTTTTCATTTATTTTTTCTTAGCATCTAGTCCAATTTCTTCCCTCTTTATAATTAGCTCTGATTAACTTATAGTTGATCATTGAAGCTGCATTTCAGCTCGCCAGTTTGTCGGATTATTATCTCCTTTCTCTTTTTTTTCTGATTAAGATGTATTCTATCATTAATAGGACACTTTATAGTGAACTTGCCACATTTTTTTTTTATTAATAAATGATAGAAGTGATTAAATTTTTATTTATCATTGCAAAAAAAAAAAGCGACAGAAAGTCAAATAATAAAGCCTTGATATAAATTAACAACAATTGAATCAAAACCATTTTTTGATGAATTCAAATTAAAAAAAAAGTATATTGCAAAATAAATAGATCACATAAAATAAAAGTTGAAATTTGTAAAGAGATAAAACTCTGATCTTTTATGTTGGTAGAATATTCTTTCTCTGTAGTTTTCTACTTTAAAGATTTTTATCTCAAAAAACGTGTAATACTAGAAGTTATTCAATGTCTGTCAGAAAGTTCGCATCTTTGTGCTAAATACTGCTCCTCTGTTAGGACCAAGTAATTCACACAGCAATATATGTATACAGTAGCTAGTATTATACACTTGGTTTGATCCTTTTTACAACATTATTTCAACAATTTTTAAAATTCAATATCAAAATCCATTAAATTTTATTACTCAAAAAGATGCCTGTATGTTCACAGTTAAGAATCAAATATTCTTGCGGCTAATTGGAGATTAAAAAAAAAAAATAAAACCATAGGATACAAGATTGCATGTAAGAATTTCAATTATGACAAAATTGGCACAATAAACCAACGTGATTGAATCCATTGAAATTCTTTACCTTCGACCTTCAAAGTCTCACTCAACTCAACTTGCCTCTCTATCCGTTAATAATTGACAGTTTGTTCCGAAGTTGAGACCACGTTTGTAGCGGTCAAGCGCGGAAAAGCACTCGAGGTAGCGGCAAAATATATAAGATGCAATATATGAAGAGGATAAAAGGAATAAAAGTGAAATTAATGTGGTATGGAAACGAAAGTGCAGTCAGACGTTAAACTTTAAGAGATTTTGAAACTGAGTATAAAGGAAGAAAATGGAGAGCGAGGAGCTTGCTGTAAAAGAGAGATAGTTGATGACTGCGACTATGAGATAGAGAATCAACCGCAAGAACGAACGAGGCCTGAATGTGTAAGAAGGACAAAACAGTTTGGGAGATGAAGAGCAAACCAAAGAGAAGCTGAGAGGATCGCGGGACGTTCGAAGTGGTCACGGGATGAGGGAAGTCGTGGTTTCGCGGTCGTTGTGGTTGCGGCAGCAAATTGAGATAGTTCGCAAACCGCCGCCGGCCACGCTGACCCAACCTGCTGGCCGTGGCTTTGGGAACTATACCTTTTACACTACATCTACACTTTCTATATGTACGCCAATGCTATCACCAAAGCTACAGTAGTATTACTGCCACACTCTCAAAATTCTCGCGATTTTAGTGCTGCCGCAAATAACGAGAATGAGCAGACTAGCGAATATCACAA